TTCCTGCCTTAAAGACGCAGGACACCCACAAAACCATCATGCATTCAGTCTGCCTCAAGAGTATGGAAGGCAGAAGGCCCTTTAAATGGAACACGTAAAATTTCACCGTGAACATGCACTGTTTGTCTGCATTTCTTTTGTATGTGTACATTCTGGCTGTGCTAAGGTGGCAGTTTTTGCCATGGTTTTTGGTACAAGTAAAGATGAAAAAATTGAAACGTTTCCCTCAACTCACGTACATTCCAGCCATGTTCAAACATGGATTACTTTTTAGAGTAGATTTACTTCTAGATTTACTCACATATTAATCTTATTTTTTTTTTAGATAATTGCAGCATTGCTTTACTGATTTCTACTGTGCTAAAGTAAATTAATGAATGTTACAATGTAAATTAAGACTTTTCTACCCGAGAAAGAACATTGAACTAAACAACTAAAAAGGACATGAAAAGTCAAGGCATAAGACTGACATCACACACAACATACCGATGTGTTATCCCCATAGACTGTATAAAAACATGGACGTAGTGTCCGTGACATCACTCGTAGGTTTCGTAGGTTTCTGAAGAGCATTTTTGAAGCCTAAAGTGGGCGGAGCCGACTGCCGCCATCTTGGCAGCACGTCACCGCGCATCACTCCCGGATAATCGAAAACGAGCAAAAAGGCGGGACGTGGGTGAAGCTGAGGTGCCTGGTTGCTGAAACCACGCCCGTCTATAGTGACAGCAGTGCTGCCGTGCAAAGACAAAAACACCATAACTTCGTTTTTGGTCAAAATTAGTTATTGGTAATTTTGGGACATATATGACCTCCTTTATCATGTGTATACAGGTGCATCTCAATAAATTAGAATGTCGTGGAAAAGTTCATTTATTTCAGTAATTCAACTCAAATTGTGAAACTTGTGTATTAAATAAATTCAATGCACACAGACTGAAGTAGTTTAAGTCTTTGGTTCTTTTAATTCTGGCTCACACTGAACAAAAACCCACCAATTCACTGTCTCAACAAATTATAATACTTCATAAAACCAATAAAAAAAACATTTTTAGTGAATAGTTGGCCTTCTGGAAAGTATGTTCATCTACTGTACATGTACTCAATACTTGGTAGGGGCTCCTTTTGCTTTAATTACTGCCTCAATTCGGCGTGGCATGGAGGTGATCAGTTTGTGGCACTACTGAGGTGGTATGGAAGCCCAGGTTATTTAGCCATTCGTCAATATTACTGTGCCAGCCTGGAGTTGTATGGTATTCTGCCTTTGTTTTAATTTCCATTAAAGTCTGCCGCGTTTAAATTACGGTGCAACTTGTGTACTTTCATACATCTGTCTGCACTTCTTTAGACAAACAAATTAGATAGATTGCGATCTAACAAACTGCTCCATATAACAAAGCACTGTAAACAAGCAACGACTAGATAACTTGGCAACAATAATTAATCATATATAATCTTTAGTTTTTTTTTCTTTTTATAATGCAGATTATTCACCCAGTGCCAGCTGTCAGTCTGAGGCTGCCCACTTCTGTACGTGTGAGGAGTCGAATGCCGTGACAGCGTAGCACACATTAGGGATGGGCGATAATCGATACTTCGGATCGATACGCCCATCCCTAGCACACATAAAATCAGTAACAGTTTGCAATTAAATCCATTTCCTACCTTTTCTTGTAGCCTAACTCGATAAAATCCATTGCAATGAACGTCATCGGAGATGTTTAATTCACAATCATTCCGAGCATTATTCCTGCTGGCGTTCACATCAATCCACAAGTTGTTCTTATAGGGGTTTTCAAGCTGTGAAAACCCATGAGATTTAAACATGGGAGGTCTATGGGACTGACTCCCTTTTGCAGCCAACCTCTAGCGGTCAGTCGATGAATTGCAGTTTTAGTCACTTCCGTATTGGCTTCAAGCGAGAGAGAGCGGTAGGTTGCCGCTTGGTTATCCCTCATGAAAAAATACAACATCTGATATCCAGTGTATTCATGATGACATCCTTCATGAATAAACATGACATCTGATGTTTATGTATATACACAATGATCACATCACATGTGCAAATATAGTCTCAAATACACCAATTTCATAGGCTGCTGTGCGTGTTGTCACGTTAACACAGACAAAAAGTGTGTGTTGACATGGTTGAATTTCATGCGTTCCTTTAAAGGGCTTTTGGCCCCGTCTGCCTTCCATATTCAGTCTGCACCAGAAGCTGTGCTTAAAACAGAGTCTGTTTAGTCTGTTCTGACGTCAGATGTGGGTGTGTAACCCTAAATTAGAGTCTGAAAAATGTCACTTTACCAGCATCCAGAATTTGCAGTGAGCTCTTCTAAATGAAGTATCATTTAATTTTATTTTTTGTCATACTTTTGTGCTCCAGACATGAATGATTCCCTAAATCATGTATATTGTTGAGGATTTCAAGTTGAAAGATTTATCAGATGCACTATTTACAAAGAAAAATATACATACACTATTACATTTTTATATTTTAAAATAACTATATTTTAATTATATTAAGAAATATGATTGGACATATTTATATGAATTTATTATTATAAAATACATTACTATTAAATATTTTAAACTTATCAAATTATTTTTTAAATTATATTTCAACAATATTAAGAATAAATATTGGAGGAAGAATAATTATATTATATTATTTATTTATTATAACATTTATTATGATAGAATATTATTTAAATCATTAAAAGAAAATGTCCATTAATGTGTTAATGAAAGTTTAGTGTATTTAATTTTATAGTTTGTCTATTTTTTTATTAAATATTTTGTATTCATATTTTCATTATCATTACTTCCATTTAATTATTTCCCCTTTCTTCTTTGTATGTTTGTGTGTTGATGCTTTGACAAAATAGTATGTTAAATGTACATTGAGAAGAGAGCAGGGGAAAGAAAAATAATGTGTCACAGTTATTTAACGGAAGTAGTTTCAGGAAGCACATCTGGATGGGCAGACGGGTCGAGCTCAGAGAAGAGGAAGGTTCCTGGATGAAAATAGTCGTCCGTCGGTTCTTGTGAAAACCCCCTTCCTGTCTTTTGCCAGCTTGTTAGTCATGAAGCCCTGGAGGATGACTAACCATAACCAGAGAGCAGCATGTAAACCAGTGACCCTGCCGTTTCCGTCCGCGTCTCAGAGCGCTTCCGGTGCGGATCAGACCACAGCCGAGCTCCAGACCTGTCAAAATAAATGGAGACTTTTTTCCCTTTATGCATAATTTATTTACCTATAGATAAGTTACACAGTAACTGCAATAAGAGGTGTTGGGTAACCGCGGGTGATTGACAGGCCGGATGGGAGGAGCAGGAAGTGACGTAAGCGCGTGTGAACGTGTCAAAAGCAGAGAGCGGGCTAGAGATGTCGGCCTAATATAAACACAGGTTTACGTGTGAAGTGTCATGGGGAGCTTCAACACTTAGTAGTGATGATTTTTAAAAAAAAAAGTTCTTATTTCTCCAGTAATTTTGACAAGTGCTGTTCTTACAGATTGATAACTATAGGGTCGATCTGTGAGGAAAATATTCTAGATTTATATTAAAATGTTCTCAAAGCACATTTGAGTATGAATAATTAATTATCCACAATGTTTACTTGCAGTCTAGACGCCTTTTGAGATGTCCACCATTATGATTGTTTTATTTTGTACTTTAGCACTGACTGTTGCCGAATACTAAAGACGTAATTTTAATACATTTGAATTGTCTTCCAGATTTCTCCCGCTTTATGATGACAAAGAATGCATAATTAATTAAGAAACCTTAAACAACACTTGAAAAGGAGTCTATTGTCCATCTGTTTGTAATTGTGTATACACAAGGATTTTCTGGGTGGATATGGAAAATTTAATTAGAAGGAAAACAAATATTATATTAAAGTTAAATACTTTTTTATATATTTATGTAGCCTATTCCAATGAAAGTAATAATAATAATAATTTTACTTTACTTGTAGCCTGCAACTTTTTATTATTTTGGGAAAATTTCACATACTTAAGAAGAAATGGTCAGGATCCAAGCCAAATTGCATTCATTTTCTCCAAGAGATTAAAACGCACCACTTTGGAGAACATTGTTAATAAAAAGCAAAGAATCTTTAATTAAGTCTCAAATTTTTTTCCAGGTTGTAATGGATTAAACACCGCCTTTTTCTTATTTATTGTTTTTTATTTTGTTTTGTTATTATTGTCTATCATTTTTATGCTGATGGTTGTGTTATTTTTTGTATACTGTTTTTGATTTATGAGCATTAATAAAAAATAAAAAAAGCTAATTATTGAATCAATTGTTTGTACACTCTGGCATGTTTATGTAAATTTTTGTATAATGTTGTTTATTCGTTCTGGTCAATAATAATAATGAAATAAAAAAAACTAACACTGTTGACTTTGGCTGTTGGCTTCTGCCGTCTAGTGGTCACTCAACAGATCTGCGTCACACACTGGTTTTATTTTGGATGTTTTTTTTTTAATTTTCAAAACGTCATGTTTTTTTGTTATTGTTTTTTTTTTTTTTTTTTTGCAATTTTGTCATTTTAACCAATTCTCTAAATTTACGAGCCGCTGTATACAGACCTTATTAACTTAATTACAACAAAATGTAATGTATATTATGTAAATGTAGCGTGATAGAAGAATGTGTAAGTTTCTGGTCCCCTTTGACTTCCATTTTATGGATAAAATACTATGTAAGTCAATGGCTACCGGCAACTTGTTTGGTTACCAACATTCTTCAAAATATCTTCTTTTGTGTTCAACAGAAGAAAGACATTGGTACAGGTTTGAAACTTGAGGGTGAGTAAGTGACGGAATTTTAACTTTTGGGTAAACTAATATTTTTGTTAAGTTAAATATTTAAATGTGATTAAAATAAGTTGATTATTTACATATATTTAATTGAAATATGCAGCGAGCGCGTCGCTGTGTTGCTATGGCTACTAGAGTTCTCGCGGCGCAAATAAGTGCGTCGGTGACGCGTCAGTTCGTGTCTATGGTGTGAACGCATTTAGCAGCGCTGCTAGTGTGTGTAGCAGCGCAAACCGGCACCATGAGCCTCAATAAACACCAACTGAGTGACTCTTTATTCATCTGGGTAAGATATAAACCCGTTCTGTTCACTTAAGCTGATATTTAAAGAGTGTCCGTCTGTATTGACTGAGAATGAAGTAACGTTAGTTGTTTGTTTGTGTTTAGCGCGCTAGCCTGTTAGCAGCAGGTGCAATCTCACATTTCACCGAGTTTATGACTTTCAAAGAATGAATCGCCGTTTTCTGTTTATCATTCGCTCGTATATCAGTCAGGCGATTTTATTAGTGTTTTATACAGCTCTGCATGTGTGTGTTTGGTGTGTTAAACTCATTATGTAACTGACCAAAGGTCCTGAAATGAGTTTAGACTGATTATAAGAGTTCAAAACAACATAACCTCCGGTGAAATCAATATATCCTCCTCAAATAAAATAACAAAAATGTCCCTCACAGTTGAGGAACAAACCATGACTTTATTTACCTCAGTAAACTTATTGTTTTTGATCTCACTTTTGAGACATACTGCTGTACATGTACCAAAATAATAAATTACAGTCTTTTAGTATGTTTTTCTGTAACAATTACGCAGATATTACTTGTAATATATCAAAGTAGGTATGAACGTTTGTTTTTATTTGTTCAGTTCGTTCAATTTGTTTAATAAATATTTGTAAAGGTTTATTTGAAAAAGATTTATTTTGAGTTGTATTTATATTTATTAGAAAAAAATCTGTTCACTATAGTACATATGCATTTTTATGTTTACTTTAATTTTACTTTTACATTAATCTATTTTATTGTTTATTTAATTGTTTTATTGTAATTAATTTATTGTAATATATTTGTCTTTAATTTATTTTAATCTTGTTTTTATTATTTATTTATTTTTCTAAAAGGTGTCTTAGACCTTAAACAACACAAGTTTTAAACGGATCCTGTTTTTGTATACACCTCTCATGTCTGTATTTGTCTAATTTTCTGTCTCTTTCTGTGTTCCAGCTGCAGACATTTCAGGTGCCGTCGTGTGTGAGCAAACATGAGCTCACCAGCGGCGTGGCCATCGCACATGTGCTCAATAAAATGTGAGTGTAACGTGTGGGTGTGACTTTCTGCAAATGTTTATGAAGGAACGTCAACTATTCACGTGAAAGCTGATCTGACAGATGCGCTGGATGTCTGAAACACCGTTAAACCGCCGGCACACATGCATGTCAAATATGACAGCTGATTGTGAATACTTCTCATTCACTGGCCCTCAAGACCACTCACAGACCTTTTCCTTCATGATGCATGATAAATTGTGTTGGCTCTGTGTTTTAAGAGCGTTTCTCTTCTGTTTCTCTCAGAGATTCGTCCTGGTTTAATGAGACGTGGCTCAGCAGGATAAAAGAGGATGGCGGCACAAACTGGAGGCTGAAGGTACTTTAGTTTTATTAGATTTCTCTCTAGTAAAGAGGTTTTCTGTACAGTATACAGGATGTTCATGGGTCTGAGTAAACACACATGTGCTCTGACAGGTCAGCAACCTCAAGAAGATCCTTCAGAGCATGATGGAGTATTATCATGATGTAAGTTATGTTTTGTGTGATTGAAGTCTATCAAAAGCTGCTTTCCTTTGTACCTTTGAACCAGAGGTTCACATAAAGGGGATATGTATTTGTGTGTGTGTAATACTTGAATAACAAGTAAATGATAAAATATGTACTTTTATACAGTAAATATATTATAAAATATACTTCCATTATATATTTAGATATTATTATATTGTTTCTCAATTTTGGGAATTTAAATTTAAATACTACAATAACTAATAGGTTGTTTGCAATCACGTGATTCTGATGACACGTGAAATGCAGCTGGAGGGCAGGAAGTGATTTTTCTCTCCATAGAAATCACTAGCAGAAACTCAAAATGCCAGGGTTTTGCATTGTTTATGGATGCTTAAATTGGACAAACCGAGAAACCACAAGGAGCTTTTATCGTGTACAAAAATGTGTTGTTGTCTTTATAACATAAGTATCACGTCCAACATGTTGTGATTATCAATAGAGATCCCCTCATACGATTGTAAGGCGCGTTGGGTGTGCAGCAATTCAATGAAAGCGCTATATATATATATAGGATGCACCGATACTGGTATCGGTATCGGGCCCGATACTGGTCTCCTGTACTCGTACTCGTTAACATTGATTACAGAACGGCTTTACTGACAAGATGCACGTTAAATATCGCATGCGATTTATCGTGCAGCCCTACTGACAAGTTACGCAAAAAAAATCGCAGGCGATTTTGTTGCGCGATTCTGAAATCGTTGCGATAATGACAGCTGTTTGCATAGCTTCTCAGTGAACTACGGCTCTGTGAAGTAAATGCTGCTCCAGCGAGGCGTATTTGGAGTTTCAGTGCGAGAGCGCCCTCTGGCCTTTGGATGGAGATTTACTGCTGATCACAGAACCGTGCTTCACTGAAAGATACGCATGACAATCACAGCTTCTGTCGAATCGCGATCTCGATTCCATTTCAATTTATCGTGCAGCCCTAGATTGTACACATTTATGAATGCTTACACACGTGTGTATATTTGTGTGTGTATGTATACATTTGTGTCTGTACAATGGGTCTGTTATATTTTAACTCTTTACAACATGTTCTCTGTTGAAATTTTTAGTTATGTTAACCTGTTATTGAGGCTGTTATTAGCTAGTAACGTATTGTGTGTGTGTCAGGTGTTGGGTCAGCAGGTGTCTGACGAGCACGTTCCTGACGTGTGTCTGATCGGTGAGATGGGGGACGTGACTGAACTGGGTCGTCTGCTTCAGCTGGTTCTGGGCTGCGCCGTCAGCTGCGATCAGAAACAAGGTACACAAGAGATTAGAAGCCCTGGGTCACATGATCAGTCATGTGACCACAGTGTTACGGTCTGATGGACAGACTAGAAAAGAGAACAAAAACTGAGCTGAGATTAGAGCGACCCCCGCTGACAGCATGAATGGAGGCTCAGAGACACGAGCACCATGAGAGAAATCACTAGAGGGGAGTGATGGGGAAAAACCAGCTGTTATCAATCTGACAGTACAGGTGTTAATGAGCTCCGAAACATTTTGAAATCAGATGACGTTTAGAAGTAATCAGAAACACATGTGAAGCCGTAGTAAAACTCATATTTACAAACAGATACTCAACATCTCCTGCTTTTATGCATGTTAAAGTCTTCAGGGTTTTGCATAATATTATATGAAATTATTAATTTCAGTAGTATAATCAATTTATTAGCATAATAAATGAAATTGAGATATACCAATGAAATATACCTATATCATTAAATCTAATATGATAAATTAAATGATAAAATATTGTACAATATACAGTGTGAATATTTTATTTTAAATATTTTAATAATTCAAATATAATTAATTTTAATAATTCTAACTCAGTGCCGTATTTGTTTACTGAGCCTTAAAGTCGGCATGAAACGGAAGTTGCGATTGTCTTTTTTCTCTACTGTGACATATATCCGAGTGAAACGGCATCTGAAATGAGAGGGCGGGACTTGATTTCGTCATTCGGGAATTGATTGGATCGTTGGAAGCTGGGGCGTTGCTAACAAAATGGAGGATTCACAGCTGACACCCAAGCATGAATAATGTTTTATTTATTAAGGATGATGACGACGATCAACGGCACAAAGCATGCCTAAACAGCACGCGTACGCGAGAGAGAGAGAGAGACTGCCTGAATGACTGAGCCATCAGATGAGCCTCCATCAGGCTAAGTTATATTCATGAAAAAAATTAGTTTGCGATGTCCTAAGACTAATGTGGTAATATCCTAATATCTTTTCAATGTTTAGGGGTAACGTACGTACTCCCTACTGGTGTCAGTGCTATAAAGTGAAGCATTAGCTTTCCCCCTGTCGTTTATCCCAGCGTTTACCCCTCACATCACTAGCTCCGGCCTTGCGCCATAGCTCGTGACCGAAAGAGAAGATGAGTCGTTTTGAGGGGGAGGGGAGGTTAACGTTTTTGATTAAAGATTACGAGGGCACATGAATTTTAATGAATGACTTCATTAGGTGTATGTTTTTCAAAATGACTTGAGAATAATTTATCTGTAAAATAGTGATTTTTTTTGTTTTTTTTGGTCTGTTAATTAACCATCAGCCTAAATGTCATAACTATATGATTTTCTTTCCTTTCTCAGAGCACATTCAGCAGATCATGACGCTGGAGGAATCAGTGCAGCATGTTGTGATGACGGCTATACAAGAGGTACACAACACACCTCTGTTACACACTTATTTCAAAAGAAGCACTTGTGCTTTTAGGAGCATATTGAAACAAAACTTTGAGAATGCAATGAAAATTGAGCAAGTAATGTAAGCTTTTCCTTAGTAAAGGGATGCAAGGAGAAATTAGCATGCCGAATGATTTAATCAGAATACAAAATGTGTATTGGGTTTTTAAATATTTAGCTTTAAACTGCATTCTTTATTTGTTTATATATAATTTATAATTATATGAAATGCCAGATACGGTTTATTGTGTAACCAAAATTCCAATAATAACATGAGAAAAAACTTTATGCATAACGCTGGACTTATAATTATAAACAAGCCCAAAATACACAAGGACTCTTATTTTGAAATATCTGTTCGTTTGAACAGATGGAGATAAAATATTCACTCTTACGATCATATCCTCTATTTACATATTGCAATATACACTTTCATAATTGATAAACAGTCTATGAGTAATCGTTTGGCATAAATATGCTGTTGTCTTTGATCGTAAACTGCTCTGAAACAGCAAGCCTGTCGAATATGTAACAGTGCAGCCTTTTAACTTTGAAACATGCAGCGGCGCTCAGATTTATTTCAGTAAATCATAGCCTTTTGAAGTTTGATAATCACGTTAAGCTGTTTCATCATTCTTGCTTTTCTGTTCTGAAATGTAAGATCTTTAAAAAATTAAGATGTTTGTTATACCATTTAAGATACATTGCCGTTCAAAAGTTTGGGATCAGTAAGATTTTTAAATATGTTTCTTCTGCCCATCAAGGCTGCATTTTTTTGATCAAAAATACTGAAAAAAACTGTAATTTGAAATATTATTGCAATTTAAAATGACAGTTTTCTATTTTAATATACTTTAAAATATAATTTATTCCTGTGAAGCCAAGCTGAATTTTCAGCAGCATTACTCCAGTCTTCTGGGTTAGTAAATTATTTTTTTTTTTTTTAAGAATGTAATACTTTTAGTCAGCAAATATGTGTTAAATGGATAAAAACAGATAGTAAAGACTTATATTGTTAAAAAAGAATTATATTCTGAATAAATGCTGTACTTTTTAACTGTTTATTCCTCAAAGAATTAAAGAAAAATGTTTCACAGGTTCCAAAAAATATGAAGCAGCACAACCGTTTCAACACCGATAATAAATCAGCATATTAGAATGATTTCTGAAGGATCATGTGACACTGAAGACTGGAGTAATGATGCTGAAAATTCAGTGCTGCGTCACAGAAATAAACTATATTTTAAAGTATAGTAAAATAGTAAACCAGTATTAGAATTTGCAATAATATTTCACAATATTACTGTTTTTTTTTTATGTATCAATACAGCCTTGATGAGCATAAGAGACTGTTAAAAAAAAACATTAAAAATCTTTTGAACGGCAGTGTGTATAAGACTTCTTATGACATTAAATTTCTTTTCAAGGACCTGTTGGGATTTTTATATATTTTTTTCATTCGCACACATGCTCCAAAATACATAAATGAAGTCCCCGTGGAGGAAGTGAATGTGAAATACTTCAGGTCTCGGGTCGCTGTCGTCACTTTTGGGCTTTATTCAAATGTTTATTTCTCTGTAACTTCCTCCATTCAAACGATGAGGAGGACAGTCTCTCCACTGATCTGTGTGAAAACTCGCTCTGTTCTCCCAGAAGGCCACGTGTAGATCTGTGAAGAGCAGCAGATTGAGCGTGTGACCGCTGTGCTGTTGATCTAATGGAGGTCTTACTGTGTTTGTGTCTCAGCTGCTCACCAAAGGGCCCGTGGAGGCAGGAACTCCAGAGACGTACGGGGATTTCGACAGTCAGGTGAGTGTGTGGTGTTTAGGATCGGGTGGGTTCGGGTTTTCTGCATTATCTCACGTTTTCTCATCCTGTTGATCCTCAGTCCAGGAAGTATTATTTTTTGAGTGAAGAGACGGACGATAGAGACTACACACACCGCTGCCGGGAGCTCCAGCAGCAGGTGACCGCTGAACTGAATGATAATAAAAGCAGGAAGGTTGGCTTGAGTAGTAAGTGAGATGTTTGTGTGTGATTCAGGTGTCTGTTTTGATGGAGGAGAAGTCCTCGCTGCAGGTGGAGCTTCAGTCTCTGCGGGAGCGTCTCAATCGCTGCGAGACGCCCGACGTCTCCTCCACCATCACCAACAAGAAGCTGCTGCTGCTGCAGAGTCAGATGGAGCAGCTGCAGGAGGAGAACTACAGGTGTGAGGCCCCTCGCGCAGCTCCACGACAGGGCCCAGAGTGTTTATGCTGGTCTTCTGTAGATCGAAACTCACAGACTTGAACACTCAGCCTTTAATCACACTGATGCTCCAAATCTGATTCACTGGACAGTGAAAAGTGGATAAAACCTACATCTTCATATGAAAATATACATTCAAAATTTTTTTTTTTTTATTATTACTGTTGTCATAATGTTAATATCATTTCTGTATTGTATATTATATAGTCATAATTATTAACTTTTGGTTTTCCATTCATACAAATAAAAAATCATATAATTGTAATATTACAGTTTTATATTTACCTAGTATTATATTAACAATATGATAATAATTATAAATACTTGTAATGTTATAATTTTATTTATGTAGTATTATATTAACACTATGATCATATAATTATAAATAAAATTAATATCCTTAATCATTACTAAATTGAATTCTGCCAGTATCCGTTCATAAATAAAATATTTCTATATAATATTTTATAAATAATTCTAATATTATAGCACTATATTTATGATTTATATGATAATATTATTTCTATATTGTATTATAAATTAAATTAATTGTAGTTAATTCTAAAAAATGTATTACCTAATTGATTTCAGGCTATATCCATTCTTACAAATACCAAGTTCTATAACTTTATAATATTGTATAAATAATTGTAATATTATATTATAATATTTATGTAGTATTTGATTAATAATATAATACTGTTATTTCTATATGCGTTATAAATTAAATTAATATTATTTATCATTAATTGAAAATCAAGAATTGTAATATCATTGTATCATTTACATTGTATTAATACAATATTATTATAAATAAAATTAATATAATCATTATTACTTAAATTCTGTATACGTCTATTCATACAAATACAAAAAGAATTATAGTATTATATTTATGCACTGTTACGTTAATATCATATGATATTAATATTCCTATACTATACTATTATAATTGTAATTAATTACAAAAAAGTATTAATTTCTTTTCTGGTTATATCCATTCACACAAAAACAGTATTATATTTCCATTTAATATTATATAAATAATAATATATTCATACTATTTCTTTATTATAATTATATATTTTCTATATATTATTTTCAAATAGAAAAATGACTCCTCTCCCTCTGTGTAATTTAAAAAAAATTTTTTTTTAGCTTTGTTACAGTACTGTGTAAAAACATGGACCAATTATAGTTATAATTTTATAAGTAATTATAATTTTAGCATTATGTGAATGTGAAAAATGAACCCATAGGCTTGTGTTTAAAGTTTATCACCAGTAATGTGAACCAGAAAGAAATCTCATGCAAAGGCTGCTGCGTCCTTTTGGGTCAAAATGAAAAAAGATCCTTTTCTGTTCTTTTAACATTGATATCTTCTAAGCATCAGTGGTATGAGAAATTAAACGTTGTCAAACTCACTACAACATCCAACCCAAATCTCCCAGCCTGATAATGTTTGTTTGGTTGTGTGTTTCAGGCTGGACAGCAGTCGAGACGACCTGCGTGTGCGAGCAGATGTTCTGGAGCGAGAGGTGACGGATCTGCAGCTGAGGAACGAGGAGCTCACCAGCCTCGCTCAGGAGGCCCAGTCCCTCAAAGATGAGATGGACATCCTCAGGTCCGAGACGCCAGACGCCTCGCTGCCTGCTGTTTGACACGCTCTTTCTGTGTTCATCACTGGTGTTTCCTGCTGCAGGCACTCGTCTGACCGCGTGAGTCGACTGGAGGCCATGGTGGAGACATACAAACGCAAGCTGGAGGATCTGGGCGATCTGCGCAGACAGGTGCGTCTGCTGGAGGAGAGGAACCACGTCTACATGCAGCGCACCTGTGAGCTGGAGGAGGAGCTGCGCCGAGCGAACGCCATCCGCTCGCAGCTCGACACCTACAAGAGACAGGTGAAGGAACGCTGCTTACACTGCTCACGTCAGCACACGAGTTTACACCGTCAGTATGAGTACTAGCAAATCAAGATCCACAAAATGAAGATGCCAGAAATTGTTGTTCACATCGCTTTTTTTTTATCATTGTTTTTGACCCTTTGTTCTCATTACCAAAAGCGTCACAGTGATGATGATCTGGTCAGTCGCACTGCTACTCCTAAAAACATTTTCATAGTCGCACGCAGTAGTTTTCAGTCGCCCTTTGAGAATCGATATTGAATCGACCACATTTTAAAAAACGATATATCGAAAAATCTATTTTTTTGCCCAGCCCTAGTTGTGACGGTGAGGAAATTTTCCCACCGGTTTGTTACCAGTGTTGTAACAAAACAACACTGGTAATACCGGTATCACCGCGGGGGCGGGGCGTTCCCTCTTTTCCTCGCTTCCATCTATCGCGGCAAGCCTAAACAGCACACACAGATATATTATGTAAACAAACTTTTATTTTGGATGTGATTAATCATTTGACCGCACTAGTTTTAATTTAAGTTTGTATCTAATTTAGTTTTCAAGTTTGAATTTAATTTTTATTTTTAAGTGAGTTGAATTTTTTATATTTATTTTGTTTCTTAGTTTTTATAAATGTACTAATTTGTTAGACTTAATCTTGTGTCTATTAGAAGTTACTGTTTTTATTAATATTTTGAATTGATTTTTTATTTGAGCAATTTTGTTGTTCTATCTATTATTAGAGGTAGTAAATCATTTTTGTAGTAAATACATACATATGTAAGTTATATATACATATATTATATACAGAATGTTATTGTACAATACATATGTAATTATAAAGATATATAATTATAAAGATATATATGTATACAATACATATATCATTATAAAGATATATTTGTTATATAATATATTTAAAATGTTATCTATATAGCATATATTATATAATAAGTGTGAACACATACATGTAAATAAATGCATATAATTTAATATGTATGTATAAATATACATCTAGCTATATATATATATATATATAATGTATGTGTGTGTGTGTGTGTGTGTATTTTCTATTTATACAACATTATTTATTTTTGCTTTTTTTGCCTTTTTTTTTATTTTTTAACAAATGTAATTCAATTTAAAAATGTTTATTTTTATTGATTATTAATTATTATTTTATTTTTATTTTGGAGTGAAATGTGGGCTGTTTTTGTGAGATTCACTCTAATATGCATTTACAACAGCACTTTGTCTGCTGCAAATGCATTAAATGCCACAAATTCAGTCTGCTCACCAAAGACAATTTATGCAGCAAAGAGTTGTTCATAAATCATAAATTCTATCACTTTTTCCCACTTCCACCAATTAGGCCAGAGTGCTTTGATACCAACTCTGAGTCCTCATGAACCTCATGGACACAGGCTGGAATCACCAATGTGAATTCAGAAAACCGCTTCAAGTGAATCAAAACGTCAGATGGACTCTGAAGCAGCACGTTCAGATGAATGACTAATGGATGTTTGTGTTCCTCAGGCTCATGAGATGAGCGCCAAACACTCGGCCGAGGCCATGAAAGCTGAGAAATGGCAGTTTGAGTACAAGAACCTCAATGACAAATACGAGACGCTTCTGAAGGAGAGAGAGGTACCACACAGATCCCTCACATCAGAGCAGGGGGACTCTGTGACTGTGAGCATTAATGTGTGTGTGTGTGTGCGCTGCAGAAGCTGATAGGTGAGCGAGACGCGCTGAGAGAGACGACTGAAGAGCTGAGATGTGCGCAGGTCCAGCAGCAGTGCTTAACAGGTCACACACACTGCATCTACAGTCAGAAACATAAGCCCCGCCCTCTCTCACACTCTCAACCAATCAGCTCTCTCTCCCTGTGTGTCTGTAGATTCTCTGAGCGCTGAGTCAGGAGCCGTCGGCAGCCTGGCGGCAGAGATCATGCCTACAGAGCTCAGGTCAGTGTTAAAACATCAGAAATAGTGATGCTGCTGAATTCAAAGTGGTTGTTTGTTTAATTGTTTGCTAACTTACATTATTTACTAATTATTTAAGAATCTTCTTGTATTTAAAAAAAATGTGCTAATAGACTTCTCAAACATCCATCTTATTTTAGTATCTTTGAGATAGTATTATAGTGATAATATTCTGAATGAGTTTATTTTTAGATTTTGTTTTCATTTTTATTTTAGTTTTTTTTAGTGATTTTGTTGTTTGTCTTTTTTTTTATTTTGTTTTTAAAATGTCTGTGTATTTTTATTATTTTTTTATTTTAGTTGTAGTTATTTTAGTAAACTGATTTAAAAGGAGTAATGTTGACTTGGCAATTAGCAGGAAAAAGTTATATAGTATATATATTAAATAGTGTAAATATAGTTTTAGTTTTAACTATAATAAGCCTGGCAGTGTTGCATTTTTAATCGTTATCTTTTGTCGTAGAATAATTTAACTACATAATACTGTTTTTATTCCATTATATAAATGATATAAATTTTTTGTATTAATATTTAGTAGTGATGCACGAAAATTTCAATAACCGAACATATTTGGACGGATGGTTTTCGGTTTATATAATTGAAAATTTGATAAAAACTGCAGATGAAATGTGTATATGCAACTCAGTTTTCACTTGAGTGTTGATCATTGAATAAATGTGATTAATTATTACATTTATTCATAATTTATTCATATCAAATTAATTTTAGTTTTTGGTTAAAAAAAGTTGTTGTATCACTAATATGTAGTGTAACATTTTCTTTTCATGTTCCAGATTTTTTTTGCAAAATAAATACAGCTTTGAATTATGTAATGAATTTTATGTTACGTAGATTATACAATCTGATAGTCATAAAATTAAAAAGAGTGACTGACGTCAATGTGGGTAGTAATTATTTTTAGTAGTAGCTTGTAGTGTGTCTGGACTTTACTAGTTAAACATTTAAGCAGTTTAGCTGTTTCAAAACTTAATGCTAATCACACACACTAGCGGTCAAAAGTTTGGATCAAAAATGCAGTAAAAACTGTCAAATTTAAAATAACTGTTTTCTATGTGAACATATGTTAAACTGTAATTTATTTCTGTGAGTCAAAGCTGAACTTTCAGCATCATTACTCCAGTCTTCAGTGCCACATGATTCTTGGCACTTATCTGTGTACATAAGATGAGTCTGACATGTGAATGTGTTTTCTCTCTGTGTGTGTGTCAGGGACACGGTTGTGCGTCTGCAGCAGGAGAATAAGACGCTGTGTGTTCAGGAGGAGTCGTACAGACACAGACAGGAGGAGCTTCAGACGCAGCTGGAGGATTCACAGCGCAGCCAGAACACACTCGAGACGCAGAACCGGTCTGTGTGTGTGTGAGACGTGTGTCAGATACATCAGCGTACGGAGTGTGACGTGCTCTCTCTCTGTCTGTGTGTGTGTCAGGTTGAGTCAGCAGCAGATCTCAGAGCTGAGCGCTCTGGTGGAGGAACTGCAGAGAGCTTTACAGGAGCAGGACAGCAAGACCGAGGACGTCAGTAACACACACACTCACTGAAAACTGATTCCTCGCGTCATGATTGTGTCTGAGTTAAAATCTCTCCGATCAGTCCACAAACACTCAGTGCTGCTGTCTGCTGGACGATCCGCCTCATTTCAGACAGAATCGACTCCTTAAAGGGTTAGTTCACCCAAAAATGAAAATTAGCCCATACACTGAAAACTGATTCCTCGCGTCATGATTGTGTCTGAGCTAAAATCTCTCCGTTCAGTCCACAAACACTCAGTGCTGCTGTCTGCTGGACGATCCGCCTCATTTCAGACCGAATCGACTCCTTTAAGGGTTAGTTCACCCAAAAATGAAAATTAGCCATAAATTACTCACTCCCGAGGCATCCTAGGTGTATATGACTTTCTTCTTTCAGACGAATCCAGTCGGAGTTATATTAAAAATTGTCTTTGATCTTTCAAGCTGTTTCATGGCACTCAGCGGGTGTTGCATGCATCAGTCCAAAACAAGTTAAATAAAAAGCGCCCATCCATAAAAAAAAAGTGTCTCACACGGCTCCGGGGGGTGAACAAAGGCCTTCTGTAGCGAATCAATGCGTTTTTGTAAGAAAAATATCCATATTCAAAACTTAATAATCACTTTAATGTAGCTTTAATGTAGCTGCTTCTGTGTGCAACTGTTGGCGCAAGCTACATTAAAGTTCCAAGTTCCACCCCCTGGAGCCGTGTGAGACACTTTTTTTTTATTTTTATGGATGGGCGCCTTTTTATTTAACTTGTTTTGGACTGATGCATGCAACACCCGCTGAGTGCCATGAAACAGCTTGAAAGATCAAAGACAATTTTTAATATAACTCCGACTGGATTCGTCTGAAAGAAGAAAGTCATATACACCTAGGATGCCTCGGGGGTGAGTAATTTATGGGCTAATTTTCATTTTTGGGTGAAATAACCCTTTAATTCATCTGTCTGCTCTTATTGCGAACGATTCATGACGTCAGTCTAAAGAATTATGATTCTATTATCATTTTTCTTCTGAATGTAATAACTTGCTCCACTTCATAAATTATTTGACATGAGAAAAGGAAGTCAGTGTGGGCGGAGCTGAATGATATTAATCAATAATATCATAATAACATCCAGTCAAATCCAAATGGAAGTCCTGTTAAAACAAAATTAGTAGCATTAACAATTAATTTAAAAAATATATTATTGAAAAATATATATTATTTATCAAGTATTTATACACCATTGTAGTATTTTGGTTGCAATTTACACTTGTTTTTATGGTTAAATTTTGTTTACCTTTTTAATAATAACACTTTTTTTAATAATTCACATTTTTAGTTTTAGAATTTATATTAAAAAATACCAATTAATTAAAAAAACTAAAACTAAAAATATATATTATTTGTAAAGCATCCATCATTGTAATTTACACTAATTTGAATGTTTGTTTTTTTTTAACCTTTTTAGTAACTTTTTTAAAAAACGGTTTTTATTTTGGTGTGAAATTTGGGCTAAACTAAAGAACTAAAACTATGCATATATACAGTTTTATATATTTTTTTAAATAGTTATTTTTATTAGTATTTTATGTTTCTGCTCAGCCTTAATTTATTTTTAATTTCAGTTTAAGTAATTTTAGTGCTTAATAATAATGAAATTATAAATGTTGCCTTGGTAACTGACTAGATTTTAAAGGTTTACATTTTTAATTTTTTTGTAAATTATTAAAAAAAAAATTTGTTAATTGATATTGTTTTCTTTTTACTTTGGAGTGAAGTTTGAGCTGTTTTTGTGAGGTTCATGTCATATATCAGATAGAAAATGCTCCAGTCAAATCCCTATGAAGTGGATGGTAAATGTGTAGTGAGTGGCGTATCTCCTCAGACAACAGCGCTTGAGTGATTTCCATCTGTTTGTGATTGATTGATTGATTTAATATGACTCACCTGATCATCTGATCTGATGTTAAACCACACAGTATCCTCTAAAGAGTCTCTGTCTGTCTCTGGTTGATTGATGTGTGAGATCTGTAACGGTTTTGTTTGCGGTGCTGAAATTAACGCCTGCTCGTCTGTTTTTATCCGCCCACCTCTCCTAATCGACCAATCATCTGCCGCCTCAGGTCATGCCTTGGTAACTGACTGAACTTTGTGCACATTTTTTGTCTTATACTTTTTTTCTTTTTTTATAATGTAATTATTTTTAGTTTCTAATTTTATTGTAGTTTTAGTAATGTTATGTGCTTTTGTCATTTTTATTAGTTTTTATATTTCTGTTTAGCTTTAATTTATTTTCAATTTTAGTATAATAATAATAATAATACATTTCTACATTTTTTTTATTACATAATATAATATTTTTATATTGCAATATTAATTATAATTTCAATTTCCAATTTTATCAGTTTTAGTAATTTTATTATATTTCTGTGGTGTTTATATTTCTTTTTAGCTTTATTTTTAATTTCAGTAATACATTCCAATAATAGGTATTTTTGGTCTTTAAAAAAAATATATATATATATATATTGGCTTGGACTGAAATAAAAAAAAAAATTTTTTTGTCTTGCGCTTTTTGAATTGAACCAGTTCATTAAAAATTCATCTGAACGAACTGATTCATTCAAATGATTCAGAATCAGGAGAGTCTTAACAGACTGGAGTGTGTTTGAAGCTTTGCATCAGTTCATTACAGTATGACAAAAAACGGATTTTTGAAGAGTAAACCATGCTTTTATTATGTTACACAACTGCTTGTTACAATAGTCCTATAGAAACATCTGAGCTGCTGTCACAATACTAAGTGATACACTCTGTGTGTGTGTGTGTGTGTGTTTGTGTGTGTGTGTGTCAGTGGCGAAGAAGATCGACGAGCTGCAGGAGATCCTGAAGAAGAAGGATGAAGACATGAGACGGATGGAGGACAGATACAAGAGATACGTGGAGAAAGCTCGCACCGTCAGTACAGACTGCAGATAGATAGTGCTGTATAGTGAGAGAACAGTGCTGCTCGTGTCTCCCTGAACGCCAGGCGTTCTGTGTTTCAGGTCATAAAGACTCTGGACCCCAAGCAGAAGTCCAGCGCGGTTCCTGCTGAAGTCCAGGTGCTGAAGAACCAGCTGACGGAGAAGGACAGGAAGATACAGCACCTGGAGGTCAGACACACACACACACAGACAGACTGCTGTTTATGTGGTGGTGGTGATGATCTCACGCTCGTCTCTGTGTGTTCAGCATGATTTCGAGAGGACGCGCTCCAGACACGACCAGGAGGAGAAGCTCATCATCTCAGCCTGGTACAACATGGTGAGGAAACCACAGGAACACGCTGTCAGATGCTGCAGGAAATCCTTCATTCAAAACACTAAACACATTTAGGAGAGTTTCAAAGCTGAAAGAATACTATCATATTTTTGACTTTTTCAGCATTTTATTATATTATTTTTTATATCTATATGTGGCATGCTTTTAGGAATTAGAAAACATAAGCTAATAATAAGTTACTGAAAATGTGAAAAATAA